TGAAACTAAAGGGATAAAAAAGAATGTATTATACGAACAATTAAATGAGCAATCAAAGGGAAAAGAGAAGTAGCTATGTCAGTATCAGGTAAAGTAGACTTCAGAGCAAAATAAATTACGAGACAGAGGACATCCTATAATGATAGAAAGGGTCAATCTACCAAAACACAACCCTTAACCGTGTGTGTACCAAACAGAGAGCTGCAAACTACGTAAACCAAAAAATGGGTATATCAAAAGGAGAAACAGACGAATGCACAAACTAGCTGGAAACTTCAAAACCCTTCCTCAACAGCTGACAGGGTACCCAGGCAGAAAACAAGCAAGGGTACAGAAGCACTCAACACCATCAAGGATCTAATCAGCAGTTATAGAATACTCCACTCAACAACAGCAGAAAACGCATACTGTTCAAGTGTCCACAGAACATACACCAAGACAGACCATATACTGAACCATAAAGCAGGCTCAACCAATTTAAAGGAATTAAAATCATGCAGTGTGTCCTTCAAGCAGAATGAAATCAAACTAGAAACCAAAAACAGAAAGATAACAGGAATATCTTCAAACATCTGCAAACTAAACACAATTCTAATTATTCTATGGGTCCAAGTCTCAAGGGAGATAAAAATATACATTGAACTGAATGAAAATAAAAATACAGCATATCAAAATCTGTGGAACACAGCTGAAACAATGCTGAGAAGGAAATTTATAGTGCTAAATGCTCCCCTAAGTATAAATGCAAAAACTCCTTAACCAAACATTAATAAGTAGAATTCAGTAATATATAAAAAGAATTATATACCATGACCAAGTGAGGTTTACTTCACGGATGCAAGACTAGCTCAATTCAAAAATCAATCAGTATAATCCATCATATTAAATAGGCTAAAGCAGAAAAATCATGCCATTTCCATATGTTGAGAGCAACTGGGTCAAGGGTACACGGGATCTTGCTGAATTATTTCTTGTAACTCCATGTGAATCTACAATTATTTCACAAAAATGTTTTTGAAAAACGGGACTCTCACTGACTGCTGCTCTAAGTAAGGCTCATGGCCCAAATGTTAACATTTCAGAAGGGACTGGCCCTCTTCACAGCCCTTCACCAATCCTGGCTTTGTGCTGGGCTGATACACCCAGACAAACGGAACTTATCCCTACCCTCAAACACAATATGCCCAAGTGGACTGCCAAACACAAGCACAAATCAGCAGTGAAGGACTTCACAAAGGAGATGAGATTTGAGTAAATCCTTGAACAACAGGTAGCACTTCCACAAGGGGAGGTGAATGCATGGACATCTTGGGAAGAAATTATATACAAAGACAGCTAGAAATAAGCACACCGCCTATGGAGGAAGAGGCACCTGTGTGCTGTGAAACAACAGAAGTGTGGAGGATGCCCAAAAGCCAGAGATGAGTTCAAATGTCACTCACAGAAGCCTTCATCCACAATCCAGCCAACCAAAGGCAGCAGCTCCTCCCACTCACACTCTCTCCAGCACTCTTTATTTTTTCTTTATAGAGCTCATCACAATAACTATTATGTACTTATCTGCATGTTCATTTGTTTAGTGCTATCCCACCTCCCGTTATCTTGAGTATTTAGCACTGGGTCTGGCCCACCATAAGGACTCAATAAAGTATTAACTGAATAAATGAACAAATGATAAGTAACCACTCCTACTTCTCTTCTATGCAGCTGCCCCACTCCTCTTCCTCCATTATCTGTCACTCCATTCACCTTGGTCCCTCTCTGATCTACTGCCTGTTTTAGCTCATCTCTCCTTTTCCCTTGTTTCTCTACCTCAGCCCAGCTATTAACCCATCATAAAAATAAAAACTCTATTTTAAAGCAGTAGTTCACAGCTGGAATGTTGTAACACTTTTCTGAATCACAAGCAATTAGCAACTGTATCCCAAGAAATCAGTTACTACAAAGTATTAAAGTTGCATGTTATTCCATAAGCATAATAGATGTATACATTACATGAACAAACAGAAAATAGTTATTCCTGTTGCCTTACTTCCCTGAATACGAGCCTTTTCCCCTAACTGAAAGATCCTAGGTGGCTGTCTATCAAAGAGAGCCAGGAGAGTACTCAAGGCCACCAAAGTCATAGAAAACAAGGGAAGACTGAGAAACTGTCACAAAATAAAGACTTGGGAAGACACAATGACTAAATGCAATGTAATGCCTTGGATTGGATCCTGGGACACAAAAAACATATTGATGGCAAAACTGGTGAAATCTAAATAAAGTCTGTAATTTAGTTAAAAATATGTATGGCAGTAAAAATGATTATGATTAAAATTTATTAATATTTTATATTATTAAGAAGAGAAAGAGGGAGGACATGCACATGAGCCAGGAGTACAACTCAGGCCAGGGTAGCCGGGTGTGAAGATGAAAAGCACATAGAGATCTAACTTCCTTTTAGCTCTGTTCCATGTTCCTATCTAATGTCATGAGAATTACCTTGCCTACAACTGCTTGAGAATAAACAGCTTTGACTTCCTAGCATACTCATTTACACACAATCATGTGTTGACTAAGGATGGGGTCATGTTCTGAGAAACGTGTCCCTAGGGGATTTTGTCACATGTGAACATTATAGGGTACACTTGCACAAACCTACATGATAGAGCCTACTACACACCTAGGCTGTATAATAAAGCCCTCTGCTCCTAGGCTACATGCCTCTACAGCATGTTACTGCACAAAACATGAGATTAAATCAAGCACAAGAGAAAACGATGAACAAGAGGCTCAGTGAACACGAGATGTATGAGGCTGCTGCCAGCTTAATAGAGCACACTATCTTACAGCAGACTTTTTGTAACTAGAAAAAGTGCACTCTAAAATAACAATTAAAAAGTATAGTGCAGTAACTATATAGACCAGTAACACAGTTGTTTATTATCAAGTATTATGTGCTGTACATAATTGTATGTGCTGTACGTTGACACGACTGACAGCGGTTTCCTTACACCAGCAGCACCACAAACATATGAATAACACATTGTGCTATAATTTCCGAGGGCCACGACTTACGAGGGTTATGACTTCACTAAGCAATAGGAAGTTTTCTGCTCCATTATAATGTTACGGGATCACCACCACATACACGGTCCATTGTTGACTAAAACTTCATTATATGGCACATGACTGTACTCAACAAGCATTTATTGAACGCCTACTGCCTAACAGGCACTTTGAAGTTTTGGGGATACATGGCTAGAAAAGGAAGGCACAATCTCTGCTCTCATAAAGCTTACACACTGTTGGGGCAGCCAGGCATTTAACAAGCATTTGCACAAACGGTGAATGTCCCCCAAAGTTTTACTGCCTGCTTCATAAAAGCCCTACCCAACAACCCATCGGAACATTTATTAAATCTAATTACCACTGGTATTCTGAATAAGGTTTTCAATGTGAACACAAATGAGCTCAGTTGCATCTGTGATCCGTCACCTGCGATCTGTGAAGCCACTTGAACAGATACTAGTTCAGCTAACGTGGTCTGGAACCTGAGATTCTCCATTTCTTTGGAACTCCCAGATGACAGGGATGGCTGCTGCTAGTTCACAAACCACACTTTGAATCAGCAAGGCTCTGAAGTACCACGGAAACACCCTTCAAACTATCATGCAAAATGCAGGCTCCATAAAGATAAGGGCTTTTTGTCTCTCTTTTTCGCCATAGTACACCCAGGACTTAAAGCTGTGCCTCATCAACATAAGACACTCAATAAATACTTACGGAATAAATAAATGGACATGTGGTCTAGACAAGCACTGCTCAACAGTAAGCACTGATCACACTTGGCTACTGGACAATTGAAATATGGCTAGTTCAAGTAAGGAGCTCAATTTTTTTCAAATTTAATTTTAATTAATTTAAACAGCCATATATGATTAGTGCCTACAACAGACGATCCAGGTCTAGACGCAGATGTGATGTCAAGAGTGCCGGACTAACAAGGCCTAGGTTTGAATCCCAACTCTGTTGTTTAGCTTGTGACCTGTAAAGTTAAACTTCTTAGGACCCTGACTTCTGCTGCGAAAGGAGGACAAGATACCCTCCCCGCCTCCCACACCTCTCAGGATTCTTGACAGGAAGTTTCATAAATGTATGTATTAAGCATAAGGTATGATTAAGGTAACACTCTCTGCCCCCAAAAAACAACTCACAATCACCAAGACTACTCTGCCTATTGCCCACACTTGCCAGAAAATGCGAGGCGCGTTGTGTTGAAGGTTTGGTTAGCTCCATGGCTTTGAGAATCAGGCCAAGGTCATAACTTTGGAGGAGGGGGAACCCTCACTTAGCAAGGCTGACCAGGTAAGAGCGGCAGTGACAATGCAAATCATCACCATTCCTGGCAAATCTTTAGAAAGGCGATATATTGATTATGGATGAGTAAATGACATTTCATTCATTCATTCGTTCATTCGTTCGTTCATTCATTCTCCTAGGACGGACTGCCACATTACCTAAAGCCCACGACTTCCCATCCACAGACGTTTGCTAATCCAGAGCCGGGTCCTCTCCGCGCGCAGTGGGCTGGGAAGACCCTGACCGGCCGCCCGCGTGTTTCCCCTCCCCCGTCGCGCCGACCCGGCGAGGGTCAGTCTGACACCGGGCTGCGAGCACCACACGGCCGGGCCAAACCCAGGAGCCATATTTAGCTGTATTTTTGGTCAATAAAACAAACTTCCGTCTTCTAAAGAAAAACGGTTCTAACTCAATGTCAAACTAGGACGGAAACTCGCTGCTCGCCGCAGTTGCCAACCAGAGACGCCGCGTGTCCAGCAGCCTCGGACTCCCGGACCGTGACCCGGTGCCCAGAGCGCTCGCGCCTGGGTCACGGCAGCACCGGCCACAAAGGGCCGGGGAAGCGGACGCGGACGGGCCTCCTCCCCGTCCTCCTCCAGCCGCACGCACGCGAGCGGCCACGGCTCCGGGACGCCCGGGCGCGGGGGTGCACTCACCTCGGTCCGCGCGGCGCGGCGGCGGCAGCGGCGGCGGGAGCTCCAGGGGCCGCCCGGGCGGTCGCAGCGCGGTCCCGCGGGCCGCAGCGCGGGCACTCTTCTCGGGCCGCCGTCCGCCGCGCCGCCTCCTCGGCCACTGCCGGCGGCTCCCCTGGCGGGCGGGCGGGCGGGCGGGCGGGCCCGGAGTGGGCCCCGCCTCCGCCGCTCCCGCCCCCGCCTCCACGCCGGGCCTCGCGGGCTGGGCGCGCTACTCCGGGCCGCTCCGCATGCCGCTGTCGCCGCCGCTCGCTCGGGGCCGCCTCGGGGTGGCCGACCGGGGCGCAGGGCCGCCCGCGCAGACTCCCGGGCGTGGTCCTCGCAGCGCTCGGCGCAGTCGGCGGCGGAGGCGGCGGCCCGTGCGGCTGCGCGGGGGAGGCGGGGGCGCCGCGCGCTCACCCGGATGCGCCGCCCCCGCCCCCGCGGCGAGCCCACCTCGGGGCCGCGGCGCTTCCCTCGGGGCCCGGGCGGTTCCGGCGTCTCGGCGTCGCTCCCCCTGCCTCCCTGACCCGCGGAGTGGGGGGAGGGCCGCGGACAGGGGGCGCCAAGGCGAGGGCCCCAGGGCGGGAGGCTCCTGGTGCAACAGGCTCGGCCGTGCCGCCCGGGGCGGGTGGTCTCCACCTGACCCCCTGTGAGGACAAAGAGGCTGCCGCAGCCAGAAGAATGGAACTCGGGCGGCTCACGTCGAGCGGGTCGTGGGTTGGGAAGAAGTGGAAGTGCCCTCACCGCGCCGAGAAGGTCGCTCGGGTCGACCCCGGGCCGAGAACAGGGCTGCTCCGGACCCGGGAAGGACCGCCCGCAGCGGCCGAGGCGGATTGGAGCTGGAGGACTATCGGCGGCACCGCGGTCCGGCCCTGCCGAGCGGTGCGCCAGGCGAGGGGGGTGCGTGAGCACCAGCACCCAGGGTGGGCGGCGAGAGGGCAGTCCACGCCGGAAGACGCGGCCAGTCCTCGGGGGACTGAAATGCCTGGTCCCCTGCAGAGCAGGGGCAGTTTGGGGAGGTGTCTGTTGCTCCGAGAGTGGCACTTTGCCCACTTGGGAAACTCGCCTGCTTGGCACTGGTTCCAGCACCTATCTGGGTCTTACCTGATGAGACATAACGCTGCTCCTCCATCATGCACACTGGGCATAACCAACTCTTCTTCTAATAAGTTGTCTACTTAAAACATTAAGAAATGTATGCGTCTTGCTTGCCAGCCAAGAGTTGGAATAATAAAGAGACTAGTGTTTATAATGTTACTTATATTACCTCATTTTTATTTTTAAGTGAATACTATGTTCCCCAAAAGAACCAAAAGCCTGGCTGTAAGCAAAACATGTTATCAAAGATTATCTTACTACCTGGAATTTTACTATCCTGTTGTGTGCTTAATATATTTTTTTTAAGTTTTCTAAAATAAAAGTTAAACGTTGCTTTTTAAAAGTTCATATACAATATTTTGAAAGAAAGTGAATCATTGACCTGTTAATATACCACAAGAAAACTCCACTTTGAAATTTTGTATCTCTTAAAAGTGCCTATCAAAAAAAAGAAATACTGTATCGTGAGGAAAGACATTTACAAATTATATATCTGATAAAGGACTTGCATTCAGAATACGTTGAGAACTCTTTTAACAACTTCAGAATAAGACTAATTAATTTTAAAGGGCAAAAGATTTGACTTTTACCAGAGCAAATATTTAAAGGGTTGACAAAAGCATGAAAAGATGCTCAAGGTATTAGTCACTAGGAAAATGCAAATCAGAACCACAATGAGAAAGCTCTTCACGCCCACTACAATGGCTGGGGGAGAAAAGACTGACAACAAAAAGTACTGGTGAGGAAATAGAGAAATTAGAACCCTCATATGCTGCTGATGGAAATGTGAAGTGGTACAGCCATTTTGGAAAGTTTTGTTAGGTTCTTAAAAAGTTATACGTAGAAGCGCCATGTGATCAAACAATTCCATTCCTAAGTATATACCCTAGAAAATCGAAAACATCTATATAACAAGTCTGTGTATATATATTCAAAACAGCATTATTCAAAGTTCACCTAAAGTGGAAATAATCCAAATGTCCAGCACCTGGTGAGTGGATAGATAAAATGTGATATATCCATTCAATGGAATGCTATTCAGCAATAAAATGGAATGGAATATTCATAAAAAAGACAACATGGAGGAGCTTCAAAAACTAGGCTAACTGAAAGAAGCCAGATGCAAAAGAGCACATATTGTACGATTCTATTCATATAAAATGTCTAGAAAAAGCAAATCTGTACAGAGAGTTGACAGGGCTGATGGTGGGAATGGGGAGTGACCACAGAGGGCCACAAGAAGAGATCTTTCTGGAGTAACGGGAATGTTCTACAGTTAGATTGTGGCAATGGATATACAACTATAGATTTACTAAAATCATTGAAGTATGCGCTTGAAACTAGTGAATTTTATGGCATGCAAATTTTACCTCAATAAAATGTTTGAAAAAAATTCTGTGTACCATGAAGCAGCCCAGGATAATAGTACCTTATCTAGTTGCAACAAGTTCTTTGCAATAGAAAAAATAAATAAAAAATAAAACCTTTTAAAACAAATGGAAATTTGCATGCTGGTTGCGTAGCACAAGGTTAAAAAAATGTACTTTTTGCAACTGGTTGTCTAATCAGCTCATTTACTCTTCTGCATCTCAATCTACTTATTTATTCAAAACATCTTCACTTTACTAAAATACCTCAAAATGGGGTAGGAATGGCAAGCATGTTTGAGAACAGGAAAAGAACTGGATGCCTTACAGCAAAGGGGTACAAGGGCTCAATTGGGAAACCAAAACAAGGACAATGACATAATCTTCCCCAATGTTGTCCTTGTTTCCCGTTGGCCCTGCATCCTGGACGTGCGGGCTTCCTCTAGGCAAGCAGATGTGAGCTTCAGTGGGAACACTACCTTTGCCTGGACAATTGGGTGATTTATCGTTTGTTTTTCTGACTTCGGGATTTTTCATGATTTCTATGATTTTACCGTGGAAGAATTAAATCCCTCAAAGATCCATTAGTGGAGACACATTGAAAAAGTGGACTGTCTCCCAGGAAGTGGTCTGCCTGTCCTGACGTTTTCCCACCACAGCCCCTGAGAAGCACTCAAGCCCAAGTAGACCTGCTCTTTTGCGTGAATGATTCACTTCATTGCTTTTATCAGGCCCTCTCTGAAAATGATTGTTGTCTTAGTAGTACCAATATTGTTTTAACTTGCGAATAAGGACTGATTGTCCGCTATTAGCTAGAAAGCAAGAGGATGGCACCTGGGATGGGCTCATTGTAATGGGAGGGTGCAGGAGATTGCCTACCACAGGGTGAAACTGCCCTAGAATTACTGACCTGGGTGGTAGGCAGGAGGAAGAGAGAAGGCATCTGTGACACAGAATTGAGTGTCAAACACAACCGGATGAGGAAGAACAGAAGAGGCTGACAACGAAGGAGAAACAGGCAAACAAAAGCCCACACAGGAGTCAAATGACATGAGACAAGTAGTAATCATGCAGAACACATGAACGTTCTTATTCTATGACTTTTTGTTTTACTCCTTGTTTTTGCTTCTGCCAACCAAAAACCTGACAGCCCATATGCTTTGTTTCTGAAGCCTCAGGAACATGGGTGCCCCTCCTCTTCTCCCAGCTCCCCTGCCATAACAACATCATTGTCAGGAGTGCTGCACTGCTCTGACACCCAGGGACGAGAGGGGCAAATTGGATGGAGGCCTTGGTCCGCTCACCCACTGGGTGGTACCCACAGGTGAGGTCAGGCAGTGAGAGTGTATGGCATGGCCAGGGCAGTCCTGGGGGTGGGGAATGAAGGTGTATCAGAAACGGGAAGGCACCTTGCCCTGGATCTAGTGATAAGAGCAGTACATTGTAGGCATTTGTGAGAGAGGTGGGCAGGTAGTGGTGACTAATAGTTGTAGTACTACACTGGGTAGCTGTTATCTAAAAGCCCCAAACCCTGGGGCTTAAACCTACACGAGTTCCTTTCTGGCTCACACTCCATGTCCTTGGAAGGTGAGCAGGAGCTTCAGCCCAGGCTGAAGAAGGATCCAGGACAGCACATTGTTTGCCCTCAGCAGGGACAGTAGGAGGGCACATGGCAGGTTGCACATGGTCTCATAACACTTCCTCCCCCACCTGTCCCTTTTATTATGCATCGCAATGGCCAAATCAAACCATATGTCATATCTAACTTCCAAAAAAGCAGGGAAATGCAATCAATCCCAGCACTGTCCCCAGAAAGCAGAGGGCTTCAAAATTTGGATTATGATATTGATGACTATTACAAGTATCAAAATTAGATGCTCACTCTTTATTTTGAAATAATTATTATACTCATTGGAAGTTTTAAAAATTGTACACAGGTCCTTTGGACTCTTTACTCATTTCCTCCCAATGGTTATGAGGGGAACTCAGATTTTACCACTCCCAATTTTGCCTTTTGGGATATTAATTTTAAGCTAGTTGTTAAAAAACAACAGACTTACAAAGAATCTTTGACCTTCCCTTGCCTGCCTAGTGGAATTAAGGTAGAAAAACCTGCCTAAAGGAGGAGAGCTCTTCAGTGTAGCCATTCATATTGGAATGTATGAATTAAAAGTGGCAGACAGGAAGATACTGGTGAAGCTTGTTTGTTTGACTCCCCACTGTGTCCTGTTGTTTCAGGTGCCCCAGCAAGAACTTGTCTATCACATGCTTCCTCTTTCTCACTTACCTGTGAGTTACCTACCTTCCATTTGAAGTCCCAGGCTTCCTCTTCCTTAGTCTCTAAGAGCATATAAGCCTCAACTGCCCCATTTGTCTTTGGGTCTCATATTCTTATGGAACTTCCATATGTGTATATGTAATAATTTGGACAGTTTCTCCTGTTTACCTGTCTTTTGTTAATCTGATTATTACTGCAGCCAGAAGAACTTAGAAAGCTGGGAGGAAAATTATTTTTTGTACCCCAACAGTTGCATCTTACAACTATAACTTATAAAAAAGCTATAAACCTATAGCTGTAGTATAAGATCAAAACCAGGAAATTGACACTGGTGCAATGTGTGTATGTATTTGTGTCATTTATCACATGTGCAGCTCCTTACAACCACCAGAATCAAGATACAGAACTGTTCCACCATCACAAAGATTCCCCCTAGACTGCTCCTTCATAAACACTCCCATACTAGCCCCACCCCCAACTATCTCTAACCCTGAAAACCACTATCTGTTCTCCATCTCTATAATTTTGTCATTCCAGGAATGTTATTTAATGGAATCATACAGTATGTGACCTCTTGAGACTGCCTTTTTAAACTCAGTACAATACCCTTGCATCTATTGGATTGGTCAAAAAGTTCATTTGTTTTTTTCCGTACAATGGCTCTAGTAATACTTAGTTGTCTTTAACTTCATTTGAAACAATTTTGTTAGATTGCATCGTGACAGCTGTCATATCAGTGTGCATTTAAAAAAACAAACAAACATCAAGCCCTGGCTGGCATAGCTCAGTGGATTGAGCTCAGGCTGCGAACCAAAGCATCGCAGGTTCGATTCCCAGTCAGGGCACATGCCTGGGTTGCAGGCCATGGCCCCTGGCAACCACACATTGATGTTTCTCTCTCTCTCTCTTTCTCCCTCCCTTCCCTCTCTAAAAATAAATAAATAAAATCTTAAAAAATTAAAAAAGTAAATAAATAAAAAACACATCAAACCTGGTGAATTTTTGTGTAGCCATTTTAATATTGAAGATGGAAGAAAATACACAACATTTTCAGCATCATATGCTTTATTATTTCAAGAAAGGTGAAAATGCAAAAAAGATTTGTGCAGTGTATGGAGAAGGTACTGTGACTGATCAAATGTGTCAAAAGTGGTTTGAGAAGTTTTGTGCTGGAGATTTCTCGCTAGACGATGCTCCACAGTTGGGTAGACCAGTTGAAGTTGACAGCAATCAAATCGAGACATTCATTGAGAACAATCAACATTACGCTGTGCTGGAGACAGCTGACATACTCAGAATATCCAAATCAATAATGCTATTGGTGAAAATGAAAAATGTACCTTTTCTTTTATGGAAAAAACTAAATGGGCTTTTTGGTCAGCCCAACGCTTGGGTCATTTTGTTTTGTTTTGATTGTGCTAATCACTCTGTCCCCATTAGGTCTTCTCTGATACCACCCTAGCAGAGGTTAGGACAGTTACAAGGGATACCTTGTAACAACTGGGTGAAGGTGGAAATCTAGGCTCTCTCTGCAACCTCTCTGACTTGGACAGAGCTGATGTTGCTTTTTTATTTTTTTTATGTATGTATGTATGTATGTATTTTGCTTTTTCTGCAGTGTTTGGCAGGAACACTGTTCCCATGGTATTTCCAATGGCCAGCTCCTGCAGGTCTCAGTCCAGGATATATGAGGCAAAGAGAAAACTCAGGGAACTTGTTGCCTGTCATTCCACAATCCCAAGGTCCTTGTCAATTGCCTCCTCTACACCTTTTATAGTCTTAGGTTTGTTTTATTAGGTTGGCCAAAAAAGTCCATTTAGTTTTTTCCATAAAAGAAAAGACATTTTTCATTATCACCAGTAATGTTATTGACTTGGTTATTTTGAGTATGTTGCTATCTCCTGAGTGGTATAACGTTGATTGTTCTCAATTAATGTCTCGATTTGATCGCTGTCAACTTCAACTGGTCTACCCAACTGTGGAGCATCATCCAGCAAGAAACCTCCAGCATGAAACTTCTCAAACCAGTTTTGACACATTTGATCAGTCACAGTACCTTCCCCATACACTGCACAATTTTTTTTTGCATTTTAGTTGCATTTTTACCTTTCTTGAAATAATAAAGCATAAGATGCCAAAAATATTGCATATTCTCTTCCATCTTCAATATTAAAATGGCTACACAAAAATTCACCAATTTTTATGTTTTTTTAAAAAATGCACACTGATATGACAGCTGTCACAATACAATCTAAGAAAATTGTTTCAAATGAAGTTAAAGATAACTAAGCACTACTACAGCCACCATACAGAAAACAAACAAACAAACAAACTTTTTGGCCACCCCAGTATGTACCATGTCCAGACCTTTTAGCTGTTCTTAAAATTGAAGGGTACTCTATCCATTATTCCATCTTGGTCTGGAACCAGGAGCTGAGAATAAAGTTTTAAAACATAAATTAGAGCAGATTGCAGATTATGCCTTTGAAAATGTCACTCCCTGTTTCTTGCATTCCAATGGGGTTCCTTGAGTTAGAGAGGAAAGGGAAGACCTATTAGGGATTTCTTGGAAATTTCACACCTTTACTCTAAACATTTATATGGGTTACAATACTTATCAAATGGAAAAAAAATGGATGACATCCGGGAACTGCTAGATCCAGGCTCGGTGGAGTCTGAATCGGCAAGTATGGAGGGAGTGAAAAGCTGAGAAAGTGAGAGGAACGAGCCTGGGGCCATACAGGAGGAACTGGCCTTGACTGACAAGGCTCAGGGTATGCAGCTTGGACACTTGACCAATGAGTGAAGAAGGTAGTGCGCAGAAACGAACCTAAGAATCTGGAGATAAAAGAGTCAGAGAAGTCTCCAATATGATTTTTTTTTTAATTTCCAGGAAAGCAGGAGTCAGAATAGAAAGTAAAACTAAGCCAGGTACAAAAATCATCAAGGATACACCCCGGCCAGTGTGGCTCAGTTGGTTGGAGTATAGTCTGGAAACCAGAAGGTTGCAGGTAGGATTCCCGGTCAGAACACATGCCTAGGTTGCAGGTTCAGTATGATCTGAGCACGAGCGAACCCAGTTAGAGGGCATGTGGGAGGCACCAGTCCATGCTTCTCTGTTGCCTCAATGCTTCTTTCTCACATTGATGTTTCTCTCTCTCCCTTCCCCTCTCTCTAGTAGCAATGAAAAAATGTCCTTGGGTGAGGATTAAAAGAAATCATCAAGCACAGTGGAAGCAAGTGTTGGTGGACATTAGATTTGGGCAGTCATTACTTAAAAGGAAATCAAATGGTATGAATCTGAAGTAAAGAGAACTGGAGAGATGGTGGGTTCTTGGTTTAAAAGAGATTCTGTGGTGTAAGTAAGATGATCAAAATGTTAACTGTGAGTGCCCATGAGTTTATGCTATTGTTAGATGGCATTTAGAGAGACTCAAATTAAAAAAAAAAAAACATTCTGAGTATCACAGGGCTGGGGAAAAGGCTGCAGGTCTTTTCTAGCTAAGCGTGGCTTTTAGAGATTTATAAAATATGTTTGTTTGGCCTCTTCTTTCCCCAAGTCATATCTTTCCAGTCCTATAGTGCACCAGTATATCTAAACAATGATCTACATATTTCTTGTAAGGGAGTGAAGCTTTTTAATAAAACTTTTAAAATAAATTGAGGCCCACGGGATGTGGTAAGCTACCTGACTAATAGCAATACCTTAACATAGGCCACACTGAGCCTCAATGACCCTTGAGATAGTTTCTACTGTAGCTCTGAGGACTCTATTTAGTGCAATCCATTCTACACAGCCCTGTTATACTGGTCTTCCTACAACACCCAGTTCATGCAGCCACTCTATGTCTACACACCTTAGTCAAGCATTCCAGGCCCATCACAATCTGGTCCCATTCCCACCAGTCCCAGACCTCTTGCCTACCGCTCACCCAGAATTCTCTGCTCCAGAGACACCACCGCTTCACTGCTCTGCACTCTCCATGTTTGTTATGCGATTTGTTTTTTCTTTGTCTGTTTTTCACCCCCATCTTAATCCCTTAGGTTTTTGTTCCCATGTGATTTTTCTCTACCTTCTAAAACTTCTTCAGTCAAGTTAATCTTTTCTTTTTTCTGAATTCCTATAATTTAATTATCTGTAGCATTTCATTTTCCAACACAAAAGAGCTGTCTCATCATATTGTTGCTATAATGTTTCATGTGTTTAAGGCGTATGTTACCTCCTAGATGGTATGCACTATATTTGTACATTTTAAATGTAAACGTAACACATACATATGACAAAAAAATTCAAATGG